CAAATAATGCAAATAAGAAATTAATGGGGTGACACCACTACAGAACCAATAGAAATTAAAAGGAAAATATCAGGATACAATGAAGAAATATACTCCAAGATATTTGAAAATCTAGAAAAAATGGACAGATTTCTAGATGCATACTACTTACCTAAACTAACAGAGGTTGAGGTAGAAAATTTAAACAGACCCATAATAAAAGAAGGAATTGCACAGGTCATAAAAATATTACCAACAAAAAAATGCCCTGGCCCAGATGGTTTCACTGGCAAATTTTACCGAACATTCAGAGAAGAACTGAAAACAATCTTACTCAAACTATTCCAGAGCACAGAAAAGGATGGAATTCTCCCAATTCATTTTACGAAGGAAGCATTTTGATACCAAAACCAGGCAAAGACCTCACTAAAAAGGAAAATGACAGACCAATATCCCTTGTGAAAATCTTCAACAAAATCCTAGCCAACAGACTCCAACAACATATCAAGAAAATAACACACTACGACCAACTGGGGTTCATACCAAGTATGTAAGGATGGTTCAACATTAGAAAAGCAATCAATGTCATCCAACATGTAAATAAAACAAAGAAAAAGAAGCACGTGATAAAAAAAGAAAAAAAAAAAAGCCAAGGAAAGTTTATTCAGGGAAGGAAGGTCACTTTGTTGGTTACCACGGACAGGAAGATAGGGGAGGGAAAATCTCAGACTATTTGGGGGTCACATGTCTATTTGGGTGAGGGGAGGTATGGTGTTGAAAGAGTCTGACCAGCATGGTGACATTGGGGAAAGGAAAGACACTGAAATGTCCACAAAAGTTACAGACAACAGAGACAAATACTATTACTTACAAAACACTGCAGTACCACTAGCACCAAATACCAGGCTACATATTAATGCACAGACAGGTGAGAAGAGCAGGTGGGGTAGGTGAACAGAAATATACCCTAGGCCAAGGATAGATTGGGCTGAAGAGAATCTTACATATACACTTGTATCAGAAAATTAGCGATATACATTACAGAAGGAACAGAAGACAGGGTTGGAGTAACTTCTCAGAGACAACCAAGCATCTTGTGAGAATCACCAGGCCTGGTGGCTTAGGACCATAGTCTTGGGATATCATCCTCAACTAGCACACATAGTTCATAAAAAATTTTGTTCTACAGCCTATGTTCTTAAGTAGTGACTGGGATCTTAAAAGCTTGAGCCTCCATTAAAAATCCAACTACTGGTCTCCTCTCATCTAGAGTAAAGAAGAGTGAAGAAGATCAAAGTCATCTGGAAACAATTAGTCCAAAGATAAGAAGG